GCCCGTGGCCCCGACTTCCCGCCCCGCCTCGCCCCGCCCGTGGCCCGGCTTCCTGTCCCTCCCGCCCGCCTCTGCACTTTTCCCTCTCCCGCAACACGTCCTCGCAGGACAAGAGCTGATGGACCCTTCACACTGACACGGAAAGGAGGCCGATGTGTCACGATTTGCTTTTCACACGATGATCATTTTAACCACGGTCAAAGGAACCCCACCCACAAAAATGATACTCCCTTCAAGGACGGAAAACAAAACAAACCTCAAAAACAATCCCCAACTTAATGTCCTGAAAGTATAATATCCATCATTTTGTTTAAGGAGAAGCTGGAAGACCACAAGCCACTCTAACGTGTCTGTGTGGATGTGTATTTTCTCTTCACTCAGATGGCGAATTCCTTGAGGACACGAGCCAGAATTTCCACCAAACACTCCAAGCAGGGGCTCCCTAGGGAGTCCGTGTCATTAGGCGGGTCAGTATTGCTGATCCAACAACAAATCCATTGTCCGGGCTATTCGGCTGCAGGCGGCGGGTGTGCTGTGGGCACCCAGGGGCCTTGGAATGTGACAGCTGCCCACCGGGCCCAGGTCCCATGCCATGTGAGGGCAGCACAGAGGCTCCTGAGCTGCTGACTGCAGTCAGCTCCACGGAGTTACCTGGTAAATACATGTCTGGACATTTCGTGGAAGAGGTGACACGAAAATTAACGCCCCGCCAGGAGCAGAACTCCCATTTTAAATAAAATTGACTTTCCCACCACAAACAGCGCTGGGCATGTTGTGAGCACTTTACTCACGCTTTCTCCTCTGATGTGACTTTTTCTCCTGTGAGCACTTAGTTCTTCAGCCTCGAGGGCATCTGCCCTCTCCAGCCCCCACCATGGATATTTCTTTGAAAGATAAAAGGGAGGTGTCAGCAGTGTCAGTGAGCGCCAGGGAGAATGTGGGGCGGAGTCGGTGGGACCCACCGCTGGAGAAGGGCCCCACAGAGGCTGAGCCGCACCCCTGTCCCCTGGCTCTGCAGCCAGGCTCTGTCTGTCCAGTCTCCTTCCTTGCAGGCAAAGCTGTCCAGCACGGCCCCCGCCTCCTGCCCATGTCCACCACTGTCCCCACTCATCCCACCTTCTCCTGGCTTCTCCCCCATTTCTGTGCCCAAAGAGAACGCCGTGGTCCTGGTCCTGTTGTCCACATGCTACCCCTCCCAGTGGGACTGGACTGCCCGTCAGCTCAGGAAGTGACGGGACCTCCCCACACTGGCTGCGTTCATCAAAGTAGGACACAACCAGCACCCCCAGGAAAGTTCATGAGCAGCTGCCCCGTCCCAGGCCCAGGCATCCTCCTCTGTCAGCCATTCTGGGGGCCGGGGCTGCCTCCCAGCGGCGGTCTCAGGAGCAGATGGGACCAGGAGCTAAGGCTACAGGGAGGTGGGGTGTGGCGGCTGCCACTGACCCTGCCAGGGGAGAGGCCGCCTGTCACTCAGGCAGTCAGTGACATGCAGACTGTGGAGAAATGGCTCATAAGGCCGCCATCGTGATGGAGAAATCCCTCCACAGTTCCAGCTTCATGGAAGCAGGTGTTCAGGGAAACAGGAAACAAGCTGATAATGATTTCCTAATGATCTCCGTGTTCATGGCCCGCATGCACACAGTCTCTGGTGGAAACACACGACTCTTCGGAATAGGTGCTGTGGCCTCTGAGGCCCCAGCCTGCTCCCCCTCTTTGGGTTCTGTGGAAATTGGAGCTGTAGAAAAAAGCAGCTGCTTTCCCTTCACCCCTCATTAATTCCCAGCCCTGTTTGGCTCCAGGCTCTGACACACTCAGCACAATTGTGAGGCCCAAGAAGTGCATTGTTTGCATCTTCAGCTTTCCTTAATCCCACTCCTGTGGCCAGCACCATGCTCCTCCCAGGGCAGAAAGGAAGCCTGGACTTAGGGAGATGAGGCAGTCAGAAACGCCCACAACAGGATACATCGTTGTGTATCACCAGCATGAGGGAGGAGAGGGAGAGGGATGGACTTCCACCGGGAGCTTCTGCACAGGTGGTGGGAAGACGCGCCCAAGGCAGAGTGGGCATGGCGGCCAGAGGCAGGGATGGGAAAGGGCACAGGTGTATTCTGTGGGACAATGAACTTACTTTGGAACCCGTCGGAGATGTGTGGGACAGTGGTGGGCTAAGCTTCAACGGCAGGTGGAAACTAGTCACAGAGGCCTGGAGTACAACCTTGAAGATACCAGCTCTTCAGTAACAGACAATGGGATCAGTGAAAGGGCCAGCAGTCCTGTCGCCCGTGAGTGAGTGTTGAGTTGCACAGGAGGAGAGAAGGGGCCAGGACACTGCGTGGGAGGACTTAGGAAGCGCCCTTGGGAGTGGGCCGGCGGGAGGGACCCAGAGAGCAAAGCAGGCACTGAATCCACAGGATTCGGGAAGTTTACATAGAGGGTGTGCTTGAGCATCACATAGTTCAAATGAGAAATAGGAAGGTTTTAATGAAGAACGACCGAATTCAAGGCTGACCAATTTAATATGGGGGAAAGGAGAGGACGGACATGGTCATCTCTCCCCTCGAGCCCCGAGGGCGATCAGCACCAGGCAGCACCCTGAGGTGGAAAATAGAGCTCAGCAGCCCTCAAACACGGCGAGCAAAAAGGCGTCAAAACCAGAAACTGCACCAGGCAGCATTCAGATAAACACGCTTTCCTTAACGCCCCACCACAGGGGCCAGCCAGCGCGAGGCTAACGTCGCCACGGCAGGGCCACAGGCCGCTGGAGGCCGCTGAAATCTATGGAGAGAAATGGGGTCCTTCATATGTGGGCATCACCCTCCAGGTACAAACTGGTGGCATTTGGGGCAGGGCGGACCCTGCACAGAAGTGTCTGATGTTCTCCTTTTCCAGTGCTCTGGTTCCCCACACAGAGACCCTTGATTGCTGGGGTCGGGGTGAGGCCATGCCAAGCTGTATGGACACAAAAAAATGCTCTGCACTCAATGAGCAATGCTTTGCATAAAAACGTGCCTGAAGCCAGGCCATCCTGCAGCAGAGGCTGGGTTGGGGATGCCCCAGCAGGGGCTTATTGAATCAGGAAGACAGGATGGGGTGAGGGGAGGCTGTGCTGAGGTCCAGTCTCTGGCTGACCCAGCAGGAAGCTCTAGAGTATAAGGCAAGGGTGTGTGATGTGTCAGTTACAAGCTGTGGGTGCTCCGAATGTGAAGGCTTCCGCTGGCCAGGGCCATTCTCAGGAGGAGTCTGCAGCCGTGGGCTGCTCTTGGCCAGCACTCGGAGTAGCTGGGGGCAATCAGGAGCCCAGGACAGGGCAGCCGTGGTGCCAACAACATTTACCGCAATCCTTCCAGTGATGCTGTTAGCTGATAAAATGCAAGTTTCTACAGAGGCATCACCCCATACAGAGTGACTGTTGGTGATCTCTTTTTTTATAAATGGCTGTTGAGAGTAAAACTACTGCTCTGTAAGACAACATGAGAAGTAGCCACAGGATATATAAGCCTACTAATTTCTGTGGAATAAGTAGAAAACCCCACCAAAGAGCAGGGTTACTACACTCTCGCCAAAGCACCACACACAGTTTTGTAGAATTCGACAGAACCTTTAAATAGCAGACAGTTTCAAGGTTATTTTAGGCGTTCAGAGCATGTAAAGACAAGAGGAGCCTTGTCTTTATCTGTCTTTTGAGGCTGTGGTTATCATGGAATGCCCACATTATTGCCACCTCCACCCGACGGAGGCTACACAGCAAAGAAAACAGCAGAGGGCCCTCAGTTATAAATGTTCAAAAATTCTCTACAAGATACTAACCATCAAGTAGCAGAGGAAAAGAACACTACAGTACATCGCTGCAAATTTCTGAAATGTCAAAATTTATTACATTAAAAAATTAAGGCCAGGCACAGTGGTTCACAGCTGTAATCCCAGCACTTCGGGAGGCTGAGGCCAGTGGATTGCTTATGCCCAGGAGTGAGATCAGTCTGGGCAACATAACCAGACCCCAAGTCTACAAAAAATACCGAAGGTAGCTGGGCA